TTGGTGGATAGCAGCCGCACAGAGTAATAGATGGGCGATAACTGTCGCAACTAGCTTAAATATTTACAACAAAAATAAGGCTCTGAAGAAGGCAAACCCGCCGAAACGTCAACTATTGTATCCTAATAAATTTTATAATAACAACCTCGCGTCTGCTTATTGAAGAAGAACATCCTACTTTTCTTTTACTTTCCCAAAGTTTCACCGTACTTCTTTTTGCGAAAAGTTTCACAAGCTTTGCTGAACAAGCTGTCTTTGTTTCCCGTTGACAAAAATGTGTAGATTCAAACAATTTTATTTCGATTAATAAAGTTTCGTTTAATGAAAGTTATGGCACATTAAACAACATAGTTAAAAACGCTCATTTGTTTCTGAACGACCTAGTACTAACGCCTGTATTTTGAAGATTTTTGCGTTGGAAGTAGAGGCTTGAGTACCGCAGTGGTTAGAGATGCTCTGCATTCTGGCTCCGAGGGCAGTACCATCCCTTTAGCAGATGGTCCAGTTTTGCCATATTGAGAGCAACATCTGGTGCAGCCTAAATCAAAGAGAGTGCAAGAGAAGAACTGCGTATACACCAACAGTTGGCTTTTAATGTTCGGTCTTGCTTTGCTGCTGGTGTTCTCTTCTCTTCTTTCTTTTTCTCTGTTCTTCTGTTTTTATTTTTGGTAACTCGACCTCAATTAAATATAAAAGGCGTCATAAGAGCGTAAGTACTTATGCACTGTTCATTCTCACTTCACCACCTGACTTTAACAACTGCTGAATAATACTGCCTACATGTGAAAAAGATGAAACTCTCCAACCCCCTTCTTCCCTCTTTTTCCCGTATTACTGCTGTAACCTACTTGTTCATTCTGCGAAACATTCTATCGATGGAATTACTGAGCTAGCAGTTTTACCCTTCAAATGTGAAAGCGTTTGTTTACAACTGCTCAAGTACTGGGCATATTATTAAATAGAACGGTGAAAAATTTCTCTGCAAAACAGGAAGCAGTGTTCAAAAATTATGAGAGCTTTGTTCTACAATCTTTTTATTCATGATAAAAATTACTTCAGTAAAGTATGTCAACTAGGATACACATTTATTTCGATAAGTCAAATAACTGAATAATTATAACCATAAAGATAGGATCCTAAGATATGAGGTGAACTCGGAACCTAAAATGGGCTTAGAATTCGCGATTACTCTTACCGAGGGCACGTACTACGCACCACACTAACCAAGGAATTTGCATTAACTCCCACGGCCGACTTTCTATAAACCTCGGTATAGATAGTTGATATATTTATTTATGTGATTTTATAAACTGATCTTAAGCTGACGCGAAGTTGGTACAGCTCTTCGTTGTTTTTTATGTTATTGATCAATGGCTGACGTTTCGGCGACTTCGCCTTCCTCAGAGTCCCACACGTAACATCACGGTTCTGAGGAGGACGAAGTTGCCGAAACGTCATCCATCGATCAATAACATCAAAAACAACGACAACGACAACGAAGAGCTGTACCAACTTCGCGTCAGCTTAAGAAGATCTGTTCATAAGATCACATAAATAAATAAATCATCTATATACCTACAGTATAATATCACGCATGATAATGCGGCATTCCTCCCTGCGGTTCATTTTCGGATTCTTGGAATTGATCCAGAATGCCTCAAGAGTTTTGCGCGCTTGTGTTTTTTATTCCTGTGCGAGGATCGTAACCCCTACTTCAAAATCTTCTGCGTTATGTCTCTGGGTCCCATGCGTGCCTAGTGGGGTATTTGGTAGACGTTTGCCGGCTAGGTGCTCTTTCATGCGGACACAGAGGGGTCTACCCGTTTCGCCAATGTATTCGTCACCACACGTCTTACAGGAGATCAGATAAACTATACCCGAGCTCATGCAATCACCGTCTCTACCACTGGGGCAAATTATGCAATTTTGAGTTGCACATAGACGGTCATATAGGCGGTTACGAACTAGCTGGCGCTTAAGATTACTCGGTGGTATTTCAACTACGCTCACCGAATTCTCTAAGTCCGCCCTTCTTAAGCAGCGTTTTATAGCTGTACTTATATCATTTGAGATGAAGGGTAGGATAAACGGGACCGTTCTATCGCTAGAGTTGTCGTTTGGAGGCCTACGATTTCCTCTACACCTATCCTGAGCTACAGTTTCGTAGCCATTAGAAATGGCTATTTGCTGCTTCAAGTTCCGGGACTCCTCTCTCTGCTCCCTTCCCGTGCACACTTGGTTGTTGTTCGAAACGTGTTTCTTACAAGCGCCCTTTTCGTGTGAGACTGGTGAGAGGAGAGGTAATGAACCAAGATGTTTTTACTAGGAATTTGCTTTGCCTTTCTCACATTCAGTTTTTAACTCTATCGATGCTATAAGCAATCACCCGGCAACGGGAATGATCTGGGATGCACGAACTGAGATTGAATCTGGTTAAGGTGAAACTGGTTGCTGTGAGCATTGATGGTGTAAAAACTAGCTGAGAGAAAGGCAAGGTCACTGCCTGTGTTGGTGGAGTGTAGTGCACAACACGTGTGCCTCCGGAAAGGGTAATCTCGGTTTCGGAGCCCTCTTGAGATCTCCAGCAAAGGGAAAATCGCAGTGATAAAAAATTTGAAACATTGGGTAACTATAAGTCTCCTTTCTTCATTAATTAAGTAATTGAACTAACAAAAACATTGCTTTTCTCTTCTGTCCACATATTTTGTAAATGAATGCTCCTTACAGGACTCTAATGGTATAAGACAACACTCTAAACCGTTAATTTATTTCTTACATCTTTGAGTTCTCGCATGACTACTTCTACTTTCGAGCCACCCATGAGTATCTTGGTATTTTTCTGACCTAAACTCATTAGGAATTTTATCATATAAGGTTGCTTGTAATCTTGCGGTAGCATTGTGCATGAGTAATCTCGCCATAAAATACCCCAAATCATTTCCACTCAGTAATACTACGGAATCATTTACAGGTCAAGCTGATGTGCTCTTACCAAGTCTTAAATTATAGTTTAACTCCGAAGTGTAACGTACTGGCATAAACCCGTGCGGCTCTCTGAGCATGTGAAGCCCGTCGAACCCAACTGACGTTCTCTTCTGAGAACACATATACTACTTTAGAGTCATTATTGGGTGAATATAAGCTTCTTCGCGCTCCTGCTTTCGTTTCTTCTGCATGCTTCTCATGTCTTTTATTTACTTGAATAGCTGATCTTTACGAGAGTTCATGCGTGCAACAGCAAAAATCCCATATGATTTACTTTCCATCTTGTCTCGAGATAACCACTCTAGAGACTTCTCAAATCGCCATTAGGGAACGTCTCCACTTCTTGTGAATCGGAAAATTTACCATTTTAATACTTCTTTACTACCAGAACAGTAGTTTCCTGGCGTTAGTTTAATCCATCTGCTCTTCCGGATAGAAACCGCGAACATTAACAGCTTTTGAGGGGTTGCTGAGGGATGAACCACCTGTATAACGTTGCTTAACTTCCAGAAACATCAACCGTCCATGTTGAAGCGTTAAGCGATAGGGAAAAAGAGTTAGGAAGTACTTGGATCTGCAATAGATCTCCTCTGAAATGAAAGACATTTTCATTTCGATAAGAGGGATAACAGTAAGAGAAAAAAGAAAAAACCAACACAGGATTTGCATATGAAACAATGTTATGTGCTATTCCCAAATGCGTTTAGTAACCTCCATAACAAAAGACATCTATTCGCAGTGTGGTACATATTTCCTCAATCCAATAATGTCGGGCAATTGGTTGCGAGGTCCACATGATGTGGCTCTATTAGAACTTCGGAAAAAAGTTGAAGGTACACAGCATTGTCCAGCCTTCCATTCTTCCTAACTATTCCATGGCGTGTATGTCTCTCATATGTCGACTATCATCACTTAATTAACACGTTGATAATCACCGTTGGCTTCCTGAGGCCAAACAAAAAAGCAAAAATGTTCGAAAGGCAAAAAAAGGGTTCTGTAAACCACTGAACAGGAATGAAGCCCACATAGGGTTGTGTAGTCGTCAGTGTGTTAGTATTACCAAAGAGATCAATGTTATGCAAATACTTACATGATGTAGGTTTTGAATCCTATTTTGCGTTTAAACGACATACATACTCCAAGTAGCAAGTAGTGATACTATATTTGGACGCAGTACAACAATTGTGCAAACATGGTAGACAGACTTTAACAAGTTTGCTTAACTACTTGAAATGGCTGAAGTAGAACAGCGTTCTTGCACATTCTACTTGTAGGCTAAGAAATGAAACCAAAAATATACAAAAAAGTACATGTAAGTCCTAGTTTTCAAGTTAGTAAAAAAGGTCCCATAATCTTGGTAGAATCTGAGTACGACTTTCCTATAACTGTTTAGTATTCATTTTGTTAGGTTAAAAAGAAACAATTCGACGGCTTGATAGGATTCGAATGTTTTCGATAGGAAACGCGCTGCAATGCCAAGTGGTGCGGCGCTTCCGCGCTTGGCGTTGTTCGACGTATCTGACCCGTTGGGAATGCGTGCTGGCCATGGCACCCATTTTGCTTTGATAGTAGGTTATTTATTAAACACTGGTGCTTTCTTTAGCCAAATATGGCTTGGTATGTTTGGGAGATATCTAGCCAAATTTGCTTTTAAGTGTGGAGTCTCTTCGTGGTGTGTGACTTTCACTTCGATTGGCTTTTCGCATATCCTGTTGAACATGCAACTACAATAAAGTAATTGTTCTGCCTGGAACTCATGATTGTTGTAGTTAAGAGGTTGAATGTGCATGAAGCTACACAAGTGGTTTATCTCTGATGTATGGTCACTCTGTCCTTACAGCGTTTCAAGGGCCGAATACTTTCAAAAGTTCTAAGTTCTGGATACAATCTGATAGAAAACTGTTGTAATTCTACCAGCTTTGCAGTTTTTCTTTCTTTCGAATGTTCTTTATTCTATGGCTTAGGCAGTGAGTAACATTTCTCCGATAGGAGTGTTTCGAGGATTTTTTCTTCAGATGCTTATTCTCAGGATTGAAGATTGTAGGATTGCATTTGTAGGGAAATATCTGCGGAACATTCTGTGGAATATTCAACGAGTTACAAGTGACCGACACTGTGACGACGAGCGTGCCTTCGACTATATGTATAAAACTTTCTCCAACGTAATTATCGGTATGTTTATATAATTGTGAAAATTCTCATGACGATATTTCAAAAATAAATGCTTCGACAAAACGTTCCACCACTTCTGCTTGGATCAATCTCTATCATTCTTTTCTTTCTCTCCCCACTAATTCCTCTTTTCATCACTTCCCGGGTGAAAGTGTTTTCAGTCAAAACAATTACCTGCATTAGCGAAGTCTACTTTTGCCTTGCAAGATTTTTCGAATGGGACGTGGTCAGCCAGAAATGGAAGGAAAATGTGTAACTTTTCTTTTGTAGACACTTGCTTGCTGATTTCAAAGTAGTAGCGTTAAGGGATTGCATGTTTTGCTTACGTATAAAGTCACTCCGCTGGGTTTTCAAAAATTCTCAACAATTTCTCGATAACTTGAGTCCTTGAGGAGTTAAGAACTTGATAAAACTGTGGAAGAGACTACGACTTATCGCTAACATTGTACGCAACTTCTCCAAAATGTTTTGTTTTTTAAGCCCTTAAAGGTCAATAACTTCTTGGATGATTAGGCTAACATGGTGTTGTGATAAGAACTTTGTTGGGGTAATGTTTCGGCGCCTTCGTTCTTTCCCAAAGCCGGGATGATACGAGTCAGTCGTCCTTAAAATTTAATTTTTCCAACAAGTGAAAAATATCCGAAAGTGCAAAATTTCTAAATTAAGCTCTGCGGCCATAAACATTAACGCTGATAGTTTCCAGGATCGACTTTCTCTTAACCTCGGCATTGGAATATGAATGCGTCGTTTTCTTGTTCAGCAATCGCGAGGTTTTTAAACAACATACATTTACTTCCATAGAAAAACACAATACAATACAACGCTAGCTGACGTTTCGGCAGTATCGCCTTTTTCAGAGCCCGGAGGGGCATGCTGATATACAATCTACTAGGCTCTGAAGAAGGCGATACTGCCGAAACGTCAGCCAATGTTGTATTATATTGTGTTTTTCTATGGAAGTGAATGTATGCTGTTTAAAACCTCGCGATTGCTGAACAAGAAAACGACACATTAACGCTGATATTAAATTATCGCGTCTTTCGGTGTGAAATCCTTTGTGCTCAGTTGTTATCGTATTTGAATAGTAACTGAAGTAGTAATAGTGAAATAGGAAATAATAGAAATAGTGACAAGTAGAAAAAAAGCACTTTAAGAGATCAGAATCTAATCATGATGAGACGAAAAAAGTCTTATCTTCTTGGCAAAGATCTAGAATTTCTAATTTCTATAGTTCAGTTAACACTTTGATTCTGCATTAGTGGAGGTCCACTCATCCGAGGATACTGATCGGCCGACGTTGGTTCATATCGACTCAGTATTTGTGGTCATTTATTTTGTCATAGAGAGATTTTCTGCTGTTCCTTATTCGATCGATAGTTTTTCCAACGTAGACCAACGTAGTGAGCATTAGACGTGAAAAGACGTTCTCTACACCTAATTGTTCATAAGGAATCGAGCGAGTTTATTTGGTAGGTGAGCTACCGTTGCTGATGAGGAGAGTATCAACCAGAAGGACTGTTGTCGTTGCGGTGGGTGTAAAGAAAGCTCTGCTTTAATTGAACACTCATGTTCGACACTTCAGGACTTCTTTCCGCGACGAAATCATGGCAAGTCGTTGAGGGAACCTGTTTTGGTGTATTTGTGGTATAGCTGTATGCTGGGCGTGAAACGGTTGTATGAAAAGTGCTAGGAGTTCATCATTCCACATTATTAATATAAAAATTGTTTGAATATGGGAGTCTATAGACTTCAGCAACATTCAGAAGACCAAAATTATCAAGAAGGAGTTGAGCTTACACCAAATACGAAGATCTTCATGGATGATGGACATGAAGAAACGAATCGAATGCATAAATTTATGGGATTCCCACGACGTGTGTTATTGCGTCGTCTACAATAAAAGAAGTTTGCAGTGACTTTATTTCCACTTGTGGTAAATAACGTTTGTCGTATGAAATGGTCGGATAGAAAAAATGCTAACATGTGCTTCCATAAATTGTGATTATCTATAACACCGAGTAGAACATGCTGGCAGCACCATGGTTGTGTGGTGCAAGAGTTTGTTTTCCGCCGTAGAATAGTGAAGAAAGCATCAGAAGTGGTAACCAGATCCATAGGAATATCGAATTACAGAGTGAGTACTGCAAAACAGAGGTGGTGTCGTGTATAACAACTAATTATTGTTTCAGTTTAATCAAAACAGTTATTTCATGGAATGCACGAGTGTAAAAGTAGCGGACTAGACTCAATATAAGGTCCAAAATACTTCCAAGTTCTTACAGCGATGAATTTGTGTAATGGAGTATAGTAACATACAGTGCACAGTAGAATACATGTAAACTATACCCATATAACGATAGAAGGAAATCTCTTCTACAGTTCCGGCATGTTCACAGCCGCTAACTCTAGTTGTTGAGAAATTTTTCTTTACTTTGAGAAAACCAAAACCTTCGCAACCTACGAGAAATTGCTCGTATTCCATTCGGCGAACCACGTTAAACAGGGCTCATCCGTTGTGGGTTAAAACACAGAAAATTGAATATGATGGAAAATTACGGGTATGGGCACCACATCGATTTAGATATCGGACCCTAACTAGTAGTAAATTTCGCCATAGTTTGAGCTATTTCTGTTTTGGATTGCAGCAGTTTTTTCACTCATGGACATTGCTACCATCTCACTAATGTGCTAAAGAACTTCTTTATTGTCTAAGCTAGTTCTGCGAAGGTGAAACGTTCTACGATGCTTTTCTATTTATGCATGAATATGTAAAGAATGTTGTTGTCAAACGATCTAATATTTACGACAAAATGTGATCATTTTTGTTATACTCTAGGTAAGATGCGAAGTAATTCGTAGGAAATTTGTGCCAGTTGGCGAAAGTGACTGTAAAGTGGACAAGTTCCAATATATGCGAAATTTTCATTGAGTATCATTCATTAAGGTTTTTAGACGATCCGGATCTAGTCTATGCAGAATTTCTCCGGCATTCACAATGCTACGAAACAATGTCCTCAAACAACAAAGTTGTCGTGTTCACCGACGATTTGTCAGTACGAAAGGCGTTCTACGGACTTCTATATAATTGTAGGTTATGAAATAGACCTTGATTGCTCTAAATAGATTTGTGTGTTTCGCAAAATTCTACTTCATTTAACTTCAGAGTACGTAGTCAAAGTTTCGTTATATTGATATGCTTACAAGAGGTTGTTACAAGTCTTTTTTGTGGCTATCGTTTTGACGGTATCGCTTTCTTCGGTTGAAAGCGCCAGTAATTTGATTAGAGCATCGACAGCAATCGTTTCTTGTGATGTGGGTTTTCGTTGTCGTACACAGTTGACACGAAAGGTTGATGCAGTTCCGCACGAAGGAGATGAAAGCACTTAGTAGTGCGTTTTTGACCATGTCGGTTCTTACCATGTGAATAAAGTTGGCTTATCGAGCAGAATATGGGACAAAATTTGACGTGAATATATATGTATATATATGTATATATACACGTATATATTCATGTATATATGCTTGTATGTATATATGCTTGTATATAGTATGATATTTTACACATTTTTTTCGCACTCTGCGAATTATTGATGCGGTGTTCCACTGCAATGTCTTAAACTCTGTACGACGTCTAAGAGGCCAACATCGCAACAACGTTCAAATTCAAAATGAACAATGAAGAAATTTTAGCTACCCGTACAGGGCTGATTGCCGATTCTACGACTATGCAAGTGACTGGAGTTCTATCAATCACTGATTTTACAATGGTACTAATGATGTTGTGGAAATTTCGCGAAAATAGCGAAGCGATGAAAGGAACTTCTTTAAGTTATAGTGAATTGGAGGCAGTGGATATATTTGATGTGAAAATCAGTCGGTGGAAAGGTAATGATGAACTTTATCGTTTTTCGCTTATTTACCAATTTCAATCGTGATTTCAGAGATACTGAAAATGCAAGGCATGAATAAAGGTTTTATTAGCGTTAATTCAAATGAAAGGTTTGTCTAATTTTCCTACTAACAGAATTTTTTTTGCTGTTGATAACTAGGATTAACACTTGAAATAGTTCTTGCTCAATCAGAAAGGCAGTCTTTGTCCATATTATTTAAAATGTACATTTTTATTTGCTGATATCATTGATTATAAACATAACTCTGGAATTATCGTATATCACACTAAATAGAAACGAGGGAATAAGAGATGACTATGAGCTTTCAAAATTTCCTGAATAGTCAGTATGTTACCATGCTTATAGCTTGAATACTGTTTTTTGATATTTAAATTTTCTACTTTAAAGTACGTAAGAGGGGTTTTTTGGACCACTACAGATACAGCATTGATGGAAAGGCAACAGCTGACTCCGTTTGAAAGAGAAAAAGATTGTTTAGATATAAAACGATTTTATGTTAAAAAAAGCTCCTCGAAAATTCTAAAGAATGGGAAATTATGATTATGGGTTGTGATATTGTCGTCGGTAACTTTCTATTCGTTAACATTTCGATGCAGGTGTTACATAGCCCTTTTTTACTTGTTTGTAATTACTGTAATGAATTAAAAAACCAACTCCAAATAGAGATTATCTGTGCTAACAGCAGATCTGCAATGACGATTTGTTCGCTTACACTTGCATTACAGTCGAGTTTGTACGACCGTAAATGTAGTTAGGGTGGAACGATCTTTTTAACAACTTCTTTGTAGAGATGTGAAATCAAGTTTTAGCTTTTCTTCGTCGTACTGGTTTTACCTAATTTGAGTTTTTTGTAGTGTATATCGTGCTGTTGAATTGCTTACTAAGCATCGTATCCATCGATTACCAGTGCTGGATCGACGGACAGGAAATTGCACGTTCATACTGACACATCGGAGGATTTTGCACTATTTATGGAAACACGTTCGTTTTTTTTTCTTGATATATTTCCTATTAATAGCTAAATCTGAGGCTGTAGGTGTCATTAATTTGCTTTCTAAAAGAACTGTTGGACTTTTTTTTTCATTCCTCACTGTTCTATTCGATCTGCTTTAAACAATTCTGATTGTACGTTTGCTAGCAATTTTTCTGTTTGCCATTTAGTGTTGTTGTCTTTCACGGCCCTGGTACATGAATGAACGAGTGGCTGATCTCAAACTTGGGACTTACTTCAATATTCACTATGTAGGTTTGGATATTAATGTTTATCTCAATAATACTGCTTATAAGTAAGATAGATTGAAGTACTCCTGCATCGGTCTGTGTCCTCAAAGATTTCTGAACTTCTTCCAGTACAGCTTCTTTTCAGGCAACCCACGATATGACACTGATGCAAGTCTTAGATATGATTATAGATAATGGTATTAGCGGCGTTCCTATTGTTGAGGCATCAACAATGAAAGTAAGAAGTCTTATTTAAATATATATTTACTTATATTTATATTTATACTTTATACATATGTATAAAGATTATTATAACTCGTCCGATTTACGCTCAAAATTCCTCTGCATTCTAACGGCTTAACTCTGTTTCAAGGTTTTATAATATTCTCTAACCAGGGTATAAAAAGGCACGGTTTGGTTTCCGAGAGGATTCATCAGACCTTCTCGGACGAAATCCGATGCGCACTGTCGCAAACTGATATGTCCAATCTTCTAGGATTCCCAGGCATAATTGTGTGGGAATGTCTGAGCTGGGACTGGTGAATAACGACAATTTTTAAACAGTAATTCCGCAAGCTGGCTGTTATTGTGAAGAATTCAAATTAAGCGACTCAGAGTCCGGTTTTTGCGAGATGGTGCATGGCATAGTGTTGAGAAGTTGACTTATAAGAAAGGGGACTTGAGCTGGAGTACTTCACCTCACTCACCCTAGCTCCTCGACATAGCTCCCTTTGTTTCTCACTTGTTCCAGGCTCTAGATCATTCATTGTCCGATAAGTTCGAATGACTAAGGTTTACTTCAAAAATGCGTTCACGGTTTAAAAACAATATTTCCACGAGACGCTCATTCAATACCTGGTTAAAGGATGTTATGCTCTACTTAATAACGATGATAGAAATATCACTAGATAAGCTTGCACACTGAATTACTAAAAATTGAAAATATCATACAGATCCGGACAAAGCACTCATATTCCAATATGATGTATATAGTCATATACGTATATATATATGTATATATGTGTATGTGCATATATGCATACATAGATACATACATACACATAGTTCTACATTTGTTCAATTTACCGGCGAGTTCTCTAGATGTGTATCCGACCGTCCTTTATAAAACAATAGTTCAACCCGAGTAGCGAAATTTCAATTAAAGACATACCACATTGGTTTTCGAATTAGTCAAAATATTAGAGATTTTAATATCTTAATAATATGCCTGGCGAACGCCAACAGTAAATTCAGTAGAGTTTAAGCTATCAGGGGCCATAAGCAGTAAAAAAATTTTCTCAAAGCTCTTGAAATTGAAAACACGCTTTCCGCAGAAATCGAGCAATGCGACACCCTGAAATATGCGCTGTTTTTAACATAAGCGTAGATAATATGGCCCTCCAATCTTTTTAAACCTACAGTGAAATTTCTTTAGTTACGAAAGTACGATCCAAGTTTGTTTTTACTTCATAGGAATGAAATGGTACTTTCCTGGAGTCCACGAACTTTTTTTTTAGTGCGAGACGGCGTGACGTCGTCGTATACTTCGTTCATATTTTCGGTTAACATGCATGCATTAAAATTTAAAAAATTTTTGACAATCTCATAGTGTTTTAATTTTAAGTGAATGTCAAGTCCGAAAGTCATTAACGATCCAAGTCCTAGGAAAATAATCGGCTGTTGTCGAAAAACCACCCTCATCACGAATATGTAAAGAAGAGGAGTTTTCGTTATTTTCAACTATTATGTTAGCCCGCTCCTGTTATTCAAATTCCATGAATAACATTTTAATACTGTTTGAATGAAAGTACGTGCGAAGTTGATGTGAATCGTATAGTAACGAGCAGTACTAGAATGATTAGAGATAGACGGAGTGAAAGTAGAATGGAAACGAACAGTTACTGCGAACGCTGCAAACATTCGACAGTATCAATTGTTTCAGTTTTTTAGTCTATTCGCTGTATTATTTCGTAATTTTCAGCACAAATTTACAGGTAGTTGACGTCTACACACGATTCGATGCAGTCGCAGCGGCGTTCTCAACAACAATCGACATGTCTGTGTCGATGTCGGAAGCAATTCGCCAGCGACAGAAGGTTTATGTAAGCCTTTTTTCATTATTGTACAATCATGATTTCGATTTTAAATATGTCTATCTGGTTCTGATATGTGCGATACTTTACGACGTTAGTAAAATACAACCTTTATCTATCAATATCTCTTTCTAAATTTGTGAGAGTAGTGTGTTTTAATGGGCGCATGTGGAGCAGAGGTCAGAGACGCCCCCAACACATGGAATCGATCTCTGCACCACAGGCTCACCAAGCCTTCCATCCCCATCCTAAGAATTGGTACCAAACTTGTCTGGGAGGATAGCAGCACTTGCTCGAAACATCGGTGCGCCACCGCGAATCATTGTAAAGGCCAGATATCCATTCAATCACCTCGAAACGATGCTCAATGAAGTCGAATGCATGGGGCATACCTCTGGGATTGGTCAACGGCGAGAGCTTTGTCCTTAATGTGTTTTAATGTATGTAGTACCTCGACTACGCGATATATGTTTCAATACAGATTGTTTGAAAAAAGCACTATATAATAGTTATGGATTCTATATTCTAATGGTTGGGTTCAATTTTTGGTGTAGCTCAAAATTCCGAACTTCTTCGTTGGACTAATTCAAACGATTAATTCCACAAATCTTTACGACATCATTTGGCGTATATTTCACCCTGTTTAAGAAAAGTACGCTAATTCAAGAAGAAAAGGAGCCGCAGAGATCGGCGGGCATGTTGTTCATCTATTGCCATATTTCCACCATATTATTATGCCCGTTATATTTTGTACTTTCTTACTTAGTTCTTTGTTCTTAGTCATTGGTCTTCAATGCTTTGGTAAGCATAATTAAAGGATTTAGAATTGGTGGTTACGTTGTTCGTAAATTTAGCGTTAAGAACAGGTTTTGTGAAAATCCACATCGTTGTGTAATTCATCGATCATAGACATCCGCGAGATACCAGTTCGATTTCGTTTCGTTTTACATGTGCTTTTAATTGCTAGTTTTTAGTTTAAGAGAAAATTGGGCTTGGCCATGCGAATAATGTCGATCTCTATGTCTATTCATAGCTCTCGTTTTCATGTACTTTGTGGCCCTTAAACACCGTGCATTAGACTGTGGGGCTATGACTGGGAAGTTCGTAAATATGCAGGGGTTAGAATTGGCGGAAAGCGAACGACTATTGCGTTAGTGTGTTTAATAGAAACATCACTGGTCATTCAATATGTTTTCATCAACAACGGTTTAGTGTAGTTAACCAGCTACTTCTTCCCTTTACTTCACTTTTATCATCCCTTTCACATCTTTGCTGGCCAGTTTTATTTTTTCCGAGATATACCTGTCCTTATCGCTTTTTTTTCATAATATATTAGTTGGACTTTTTTTGAGATGGTGGAAGAGGTCAAAAGTTTCCAGCCTATTTGGTATTCCGAGCTTTTTCCTTTGTTCGTCTGTTATCCATCGTACTCTGAAAAAATTCTTGGAGCTATCCGCTGATCTGGTTCTTTTTCATTTGACTCTTTTAACCAGATGTAGTCAAATAGTTAGGGATTCATCGTTGAATTTCATGATCATTAGATGTTGGGAAGGAGTTCGCCAGTTTTCTTGCTGTTATCGTTTGAAAGTAGAAATCCTTTTTGCTGTTTGAAGTTATGTTCTATTCCACGTTTTTAATAGCTGGTTTCTTTTAATACCTCTCGAAGGCGTTGTCGACACTATGACGTGAAGTTTTTCCAGAGGAAATAGCAAACAATGTTGATAGTTTTGACAAATTTTAGTTTGAGTAACACGATTGCTGTTAATGGTTTGTAAAACAATTATTTTTTTGTACTTTTGTCTATGTACCAGTTTTCTACACCATCCACATTCTAAACATGCTTCACATATTTTTATAACTGAACACTTATCTCCCTTTGAGTCATAGAGATCTCTGAACCGATTTCAATGCCTTCCATACATAATCCATAGCTACCGATTCCTGTTTTCTTGTTTTCTTCTTTTTTTTTTTTTGATAACTGTTAGAAGTTTCTGGATCGTGAGGTAGAGAGAGAGAGAGAGAGTAGGGAATTTGAGAATTTGATGCTGTCAAAAGAAGAGGCTTTCCCTGTCGCTGTAGATATATAAATAATTTTTTGAAACGTTCTATTGACTCTAGGGCAAAGTCAAAATTTGTTAGAAATTGGGAACAAATTTTATACCTGTGAGGTTGTTAACGCAAGCTTAGCGGTAGCAAACGAGACGCATTGGGATACTAACCTGCCGTTTTACGAAGTACCGACTATTCATTCGCTTCGATAGTCTAAATACAATCCTCAGTAGATGAGAGGAAGAAAATACGCGCCTCAACAGTAAAGAGCAAGAGAAATTCGTTGGCTGTTTAAAAAAAAGTCGAGTTTTCATCTCGGGGGAAAGGAGAAGAGCTTTTGTCGTCTATGAACGTATTTGAGGATTGTTATGGTTTTTGTCAAGTTCAATTAATAGAGTTCATTATGAGCTGAGGTGCAGTTATTTGTGGCATCATGTACTATTGCAGACATTACATATCGTCCATGATGTGATAATGGTGAAATTTGAAAGCATGGTTAATTAGGTTCAATCCAGAAATGAGTGGTTGACTCTCCATGAGGTTTAAAGTGTTATAGAAATTTCGCCTTTCCGTAATGTTTTGTAGAATACACACAAAATATACAGGAGAATAATAACAAAAAGACCTTAAAAATAGCCAGTTTATTCATTCCGTTTCAATACCATGGCAGTTGTACCTTTGCAAATATCGGCTTCTGTTAATCATGATAACCTTGTAGGGAGACCGTGACGGAGTCATTACAGCTCCAGAGGACGTGAGGATGTTGGACCTAGTGGAGACGTTCGTTGAGAAAAACGTGCATCGTATTTTCCTCGTTGACAATTGCTTACGATTAAAGGTGAGATTGTAAATGAGAAAGTTTAGAAATTATCACGAAATGGAAAAAAGGTGACGGATCAAGTTAGGGTTGTGACACTTGATTTTTGTGGAGTACTGCTTATAGTTCATAGTATAACGCTAAGATCTTCGTAACGACAGATATAGCTTCAATTTAAGGAATCGAAAACATTTATGCAAAATTTGTTATTTAGGGACTTGTTTCATTATTCGATCTGATCACATACATGGTACAGCGGCCCGCCCACACGGAATACAATTCTAGACCATCGTCCTAAATTTAAGAATAAAACTAATCCATTTGAACGTGTTCTACTTTTCGTTTTGGGTTTTTGTGATAGTTTTCGAAGTCTCAGTGTTCAAGTATCGACAACCACCAATCAGCTAACAACTTACGACCTCGTCACAGACGAATGTGTTCGTCGTTCTCTGATGTCATTGTCGGTTGGCAGCAATCCACGACGGAATTCCTAGGCGGGAGTGTCACTGAAGAGCAAACGACACACGACACGTGCTCGAGCCCGTAGCATCTTCTATACCCGAGTTGTTTATCAGATTCCTGTTGTTATTTCTTATTTATGCAGTGTTAGCCAAGCCTTCTCTCTACAATTTATATCCGTAAAATCGCAATTTTTTGCTTTTCTTGCATTATGCCTGAAAATTTTCCTTGTTAGTTTTTATCATTATTTTAAGTACCAAGCGTAAAATCATTCATTGATAATGGAGTTGCGTTTATCCACCGATTAAGTGATTCCACTGCTCAGAACGAAACGAGAGGATTTGTTAATGAGATCAGGATATGGTTCCATGTAAGGAGAAATTCGAATGTTTTGCAAGGAATTCTTGAACACTCCCTTCTTAGGATAGTGTTGGATATGACATTCAAGTTTCCAATAAAAAACTCCCAAATATTGTTATTGATTTTGAAATAAGGTGGATTTGTTCCGAACTTCGTTCCAAATGTTTTCTTGTGTGTTCTGCCATCATATCAATTCAGGGATCCATATTTCTTCATGGGAAAGGTGTTCCAATTTCTTTTTAATCCACCTATATTCCTTCACATGCTGGTCCCCTACACAGTTTTCTATAAAATCGTGAGTTGAGACTGGCAATTTTCGTTCTAGTGTCTTTTATTTTTGTAGTCATTATGCACACAATCTTATTTTTTCAATCCTAGTAGGATGAGGAAGAGAATGTTGGGAATAGATTTGGTAGTGTTGTCTCAAAAACAAGGTAGTAAGGTTCCTGAACAATATTTTTCGAAAATATGTATGTTATTCCTTAGTGCTATTACGATTTCTCTGTATGATAACCTAGATAATCTGCATGCTAACTTTCATAAGGCCAAAAGCAGGGTCGAATTCGTGACTAACGATGAATTCTACTGCACGTTTTTAGCGTGTTTAGGAGAAACGTGATAGCGTCCATCTATGCAAACCAGATCCATAAGATGTTCATTATTAAGAGCGCTGGACGGCAGAGAGTCGTACTAGTGCACTGAAGAAAGCGTTGCGAATATGACAAATGCGGACGTTTCCGATTTACTCTCCGATTTACGCTTGACTAGTCGCGTAGTCAACCATTAAGGGTGTGGTCTGCTTCATTACAGGACAAAACTCTAAAACGATACATGCTGTTTCGGTGCCATGTACGGTTCCGCCATCGTTCTTAAATTTTGTCTTCTTCCATAATTGAAGTATCCTGTACAATCTCCATAGAGCAATCTCATTACTCCTTTTCGAAACAATTCATATGCGAATAGTTAACCGCTTCGAGTTTACCGCTTCGTTGCGACTGGAGAGTGTTTCTCGGTGCCGTGATGGGATAGACCCGGTGTTCAACACCACTAGGGCCTCCCACTCTGAGAAACAATTTGACATTTCCACTAGAAAGCGCGGCTGAAACTATCCTATGCCACAGATCCTGTATGTAGCTATGTAGGCGCATGTAGCTAACACTGAAAGAAGAGGCTGACAGGAAGGGGTTTTGGTGTGCATGGGGGCTCAGTGTAGTTTGCTGTTACCTTCTGGAGTGAATAGAATGTAAATGATAATCGGGACCAAATGGTAGTTAGTGGTAGAGGTGGTTTTCCAGAAATGTTGAGCGCACTACTTTTGAAGCAGTACAAAATTGTTTGTTGAGAACTAAGGAGGTTGAAGTTTAGCCGAAATGATGTGAACACTGCTGAATCCTACATCATGTCCCTGGTGCTGTATATTTAATCATGATTGGAGTTTCTGTCAAAAGCACGCATGATTTCAATAGGCGCTGTTTTGAATTGAAAACAGTGTAAATTGCGTCAGCGGTTCAATAAAGACGGCTACCCTCAGGTCATTTGACTTTCTCTAAAAGAGACGAAATTCATGATGAATGTGTTGTGTGAACATTTGAAGTTTTGTAAATTCGCTCCTTTCGCTACGTTACGAAGATTTAACTCTTGTTTTAAAACAGTGTCTATAATTTTTAATTACCCAATTTATTAAATGTCTCGAATAAGAGTGACATTAGTGAGATTATATTCGGTTGAAGAAAAAATGAACCATTTCGCTACTGAAATCGAAAACTTATTCTTTCTCAGGCCTATTACACTTGCGGTAGCTAATTCGACTTTTTTTATCAGAACAATATTTTCCTGCTGAAGAGAAATTCTCCTCAGTAATTTATCAATCGTGGAAAACATCTTGTGTTCGAATGTGAAACATCAGGAGCAATCAAGAAAGCGAGTAAACACTTTAATTTTAGTACTTTTGGAATGAGGTAGTTACAGTCGTCGTACCACGCTCTTTCACAGTAAACATGGGAGTGTTTGTTGGAGGTGGCTGTGAATTGTCTCTTATGTCCTTCCCAGCCATTTAACTGCAAAGCTGTTGGTCGAGTAGTGCAAGGCACAATCCACATCCATGGAAATACACCCGTGCATGTAATAAAGCCAATCCAGTGTATATGCTTGACATATTGAATGTATGCTCAAGGGATTCAAAGGAAGCATCAACTCTATCTCTTAAGTCAATCTCTGCTTTAGGCCCGTGACCTATCTCCGACCTAATACACTATATTTCACATGGGACGCGTCAGGTACACTCACAGGCCGAAGTTTATTAGAGGATGATATGAGAGGACCTGTGAATAAGAGCGGAGAAGAATCTATGCGATAGAACAGAACTGTAAAAAGGCAAATGAACTTTGCCTTCATTTCTTCCTAACTCTTTCCACCCTTGAGTACTTTAGAGGAACCTGAATACTGCATGTAGGAATGATGTGAAGTCAGTGTTGAAAGACCTGTTTCATACAAGTGAGAGACGATATCCAACGTTCTGACCGTGATCAGAACTCAAGGTGCGCGGAGAGATTACTGGTATGTCCTATGTCCTACCTCGGTGGTTGGTAACATTGCGAATGTTAAACGTGATTTCCTAAGATATATATATATATATATATATATATAAACATTTCATAAAATGCTTGCTTAGGTGCGTAAATGGATCGTATGCCTGGGGAAGTCCAGGATTTCTATCATTTCTGTTGGTTTGCATTATTAATTGAGTTGTCTTGCAGCTCTTCACTGAACTCATTAGCTTCGCCTCTCTTTCCATATGTTGTATTCTCTCCTCACTAGCATACTGACTGCAGGTTTGCCGTAGGTTTTTCTTGAATCCTAAGATATCCGCTTTAGAGCGTTCCGTTTCTTCATCGCCGCAATCGCAGATCCGAGGGAGGCTTGCTGAATTGCCACTAAAATTGTTTAAAAACAGTGTGGATTTCTGCGATTGATCCACCAACAGTCAGGACGTTTTAAAAGCCCGAATGCATTGATCTTTCGATAAATACAATAAATAAATGAGAAATATGTACAGGCTGATATACTTGACGACCCATGTTAACGTGCCGCTTGAGTGTCTGCACTGTTCCACATGTTTCTTCTACTATAATTGCAAGTCTGAGATAACAAGAGCTAGGCTATTCTCATTTCATAACAACAGATATTTGCTAGCCTTTATGGACTATGGGAGATTTGCTCCCTCGAGGCTCGGATTTCTTGAGGACGGCTATTTTTGTCATTGCACCCAATCCAGTGAATAGGCGACCGTCCTATCGAAGGTAATATAATAAGAAGATGCAAAAAGCAAATTTAACGTGCAAAAACTTTTACGTGGAATGTCCCTGCCGTTAGTGATTCAAATGTAGGATAAACGACTTTGATGTACTATCATTGTACTTAACCCTTCCTATTTACTGCCTATTATAATTTTTAACGGTAGGGTATCATGTGAAATACAACTGAGATAATGCTGAGATATTGGCAAAATTCCGTGTCGCAGGCGTCTGCGTTGAGGAACGAACGCGCTGGTGTTCTTCCCAGGGAGTAGCGCGTTCGCCACCACACCATGATGGTCCTATTAAATTATATTTTCTTTAACTTTTAGTGACCCAACGAAACATTTCTATTCTGGTTTTCAGATTTATTTGGGAAAAGCATGAGTGAAATTATTTACAATATAAAGACACCATCTTTAATCGTTGATGTTTTTTGTCTGTCAATATCTTTTTCAGAGACATTTTTAAACAACTTTTTTTGCAGAGGTTTCTTTAGGATAGTGAAGAAAAGATGGGAAGAACAGCGATCAGAAAATGAGTAGAGAAAGGCGCATGAGAAAAGTTCATTGCTTACAAATTCTTTGCAAACATTGTAGAAATGCCGTGCATAGGCATCCGGGCATCATATAGTTTCCAAATGGCCAATGGTATTGCTAAATACTAAACCCATATTGGAAAATCCACTTGAAGACGGCTTTTGTCTTATAGTTCACTTGTCACATTTTATTAACCTGGGTCGAGATAAATGATATTTTAGAGAAACATATTGTTTTAAAACGTTGAAATCTGATCGCGTTTTGTAGTCTCAGTTGTGCTCGGTAGTAGTTCTGTTTGTCACCTGTCAGCATGACACAAAACGTTCCATTCTGTCGAACACTTTTAGTTTCTAAGGTTTCATTATGCAGCTTCACTGACAAA